TAATAATAATAATAATGATGATGATGATGATGATGATGATGATGATGATGATGATGATGATGATGAAGAAGAAGTAGTTGAAATGTGAGTGTGAGTGTTGCCGCGGGGAAGGGAACTCACCGCGGCGCGCGCGCCGGTCGAGCAGCAGGGCGAGGCGCTGGGAGGAGCCGGGCACTTCGATGGAGAGCAGCGTCTCCACGCTGCCGCGCAGGCGCCGCTTCGGCTTCAGGTGCTTCAGGTTGAGCACGAACGAGTCCTGCTGCACCACCTCGTTCAGCTGCCGCGTCGCCACTGCGCATGTCACACACACACATACACACACTACTACAATGCTCGACCAACGCTTGGAGTGGAGAACATACCGCGTTCGCTTTTCTAGAATAATGCTGTAACTCCTGTTTTATTGAGAGGGCGCGATTTAATTTTCTTTCAACTTCATCTGCCTTGAATTAATAGGCGAAAACAAATGTCGCATTGTAAGTTTTTTTAAAAAAATTGCCCTTCTTTTTTTTATTAATTTCTGAAAATGGATTTTCTAAACTAGAATTTTGCTGCAATATTATTCCGACGCTCTCTGTCCATGAAATAGCTATGCAACTGCCACTAGCGGCAATTGGTATGATGGCAGAGATTAAGACTTATTTCTCGTAAAAAATATGTTTTTTTGCGTTTATTCACTTTCAAATCTTAATTTTTGACATTTTTGAATTACATCAATATTCCGCAATAGTGACAATACTAACAAAAATTCAAAAAATTTCCCTTGTCTTTTTTCCAGCTCTCAAATTTTTCGTCTAAGTCCTTTTCTAGTTTTCTTAATATTTTATTAATATTTTATAACAATTCTTTAGAGAGACCAGTGGCCCATAAACATTCTTTACGGCCCATTTCTTATTAGTAAAAAATCTCAAATTTACAAAAATTATGATCATGCAATGCTACTTTTCTATAATTTTTTTGTTTCGTGTAAGTTCGTTCCATCAAAATTAAAAGATGAGTGTAATTCGCGCCATTTCAAATTACTCAATATTTTACCACATCTTTATTGTGTATATTGTTAATTTAGGTGTGAAAGTTAAAACGAATCACACTTGATGAAGACGATAAACTCACACTGTCCAAACTTCGTACTCGAGGTTTTAGATTTTTGGTTTATGTGTTTTGATTTGAATGTAGTTAATTTTGTGGTTTCTACTACGTTGTTTTCTAAAAAATAAATAATGAATATTTGGGGTTTTAGGTGAATATTATACGCAGTTTCATCTATGTGATATTAAAAAGTTAATTGTAGTCCTAACTGACTCGCAAACACTGAACGTTTTGGTTATTTAGTTCCGGATGATGCCCTAACGTTAATTATGAACGTGCTATAATGGATCTACAAAAGGTCATAATTCGTTAATGAGTTCATTGCATTATTGTTATTGTCATACAAATGTAAACCCTTGTTTTTAAACTAGCAGTGAAATTTACTTGTATCTCGAGCAATAAAATATTTTGTATTTCTATTGCGTATGAAAATTAACTTCGAAATTCGATCTTTAAAATCAAACGATACGATTATTAAGCCCAACGCGAACCCAAGTCCCTGATAAAACCACCGTTAGCCTTTCAAACGTCAGTGCCCGATGATCATCACTCATGTGTGAAGGTTACAAAATATTATATCGTCTTAGGATAATTGATACGATTGAAAGTATTAAATGAGGCAGTATTGCATTTAATTCTTTTACTTTAACTCTTTTAACATTAAGACTTATTTAATAAGGAAGTTATTTCTCCTCTAGTTTTTTCCCCTTGTTTTGACTTGTGTCACGGCTAAATTAAAAGACTTTGTCAGCTGTGAAAAATGCATCCACGGAATGACAACTGCTTCTCTTTTAGAAGGAATGTGCACTACAGTGAACTGAAAGAAGTTCTGACTGTTGAGCAGCTATATACAAAGATGTTTCCCACGCAACACTTTTTCTACTCGCGAAGGTCATTTAAAACTCTCTCGTCTCTCTCCAGTGCAATGCCTTCTGGGCTGCGCCTTAACTGTCGTATGGCGGGTTGCCTATTACAAGCCCCTTCTGCCTTAGATTTAACTACTAGTTGTGAAACAAAGCATCTGGTTTTCCATTTTATGAGGTCTGGCAATAAAGATGCAAACTAAGTGTAAATAAAAATCACAAAAAAATGGAGTACTCTACTGATTGCAATCTGCATGGCAGGCTCATTGCGGAATATCAATGATTGATTAATTTATATACGACATAATAAAGAAATGTTGTAAACATTCAGACTAGTATGAGTTTCGTTATACAACAGTATTGTATTGACATATGCCATTATATTTTTAGTGATGTAATAATTATTTTGATTCAATTATAAGGTTTGAAAATAAAAGGAAAAATCAGGGGATATGAACAATTGCGTGAGTGAAAATCTCATTAAAACTATTAGTCTCCTTATGCCATATAACATTTGAAGTGATGTTTTCACTACAACTTTATACAAATTCACCACTTGCAAAGAGCGACAGTTGTGCGTGATATTTTTACAGTGCTTGTACCTACCAGTTTTTTTGTTGGGAATAAATAAGCTTGTCTGGGAGCTGTAAGTTTAATGATTTAATTGTGATTACTGTCTTTTAAATACTCTAAATCCAGATGTTAAAAATTCTCAAAAAAACAAACATCAATTCCGTTGTACGCGTTTGTGCATGCAAAAACACACACACTATATTTAAAAAGCTAAGGGTGTTCGTTCAGAAAGGCGTTTGAGCTTTCTACACCACAAAAATTCGTGATTTTTACTTCATCTAATTTAAAAACAATGGGCCTCAGATGTATTATAGTTTGCTATTATTAGGCGAATGGCTAAGAATGAACGCTTATTTGTTCATTACGTCGTTTGGTTGTGTCAATATTTTCAAAGTCTACAGCGAACAAGAGTTTCTGAGTTTGAGGTTAGCGTTAGGAAAGTGAAAACAGTTTTTTTAAGTTCTAGGATTGAGTGTTTTTTAATATCTAGTTTTCTTAAGTTCTATGACTGAGTAATGTCTCAACGCAAATTTGAAACACGTGCCCTTTAAGATTCTCATTTATTATAATGATACGTGGTGCATTAAGTTTTTAAATTATAGTGGATAGTAAGATTTCTTTCTATAGTCCACTACAACGTATAAGTCCACATCTTGTAAAACATGAAACGCTTGAATCACATTTTCAGACACAAGTGTACCTCCCTGTTGATAGTGAGCAGGGATTATCGTGTTCCATAATTTGTAATCCTCCCTCGTTACAGAATACGCACTGAACGACCTGATACGCACTGAAACAATAGTCCGGAGTAGTTTCCATTTTCCCTATAGTGTAATGTAGTACTTTTCTGTTGTTCCTTGTCTACAGTATTCTTGCGCGATGTAATCTCAAGGGTTCTAAAATGGTGGCTTAGATATGAATTAGAATAATTACAGTGTGAATGAAACAATACGACTCTTTAAGTACAGCTTTTTCAAAAACTTAAAAACCAAAACTACGTTTTTCATTTGCCAATAAAAGAGTACGATAGCCTACTATTACAATTTTCTTTCGTAAATTAGATGAAACACGAGTCTGTCGTTTCTGTCGTTTAATGCAGTGACACTTATTTTAATGTAAGTGACGTACTTCGAGATATAAAATTAATATTTTTTCTAATATGTTAAAAAATAAGAATCTATGGAATTTAAAACAATTTTTATTGTTCATAGATTATAATTTCATCTTTTATTTAAGAGTATAATTAAAATTAAGTTAGCTATTCCATTTGTAATTCCCCCAGTAAATGTGCCTTAATATATACTCGTTATTTTATTTCTTCTGATTTAATTATGTTAAACCATTTTAAATGTAATTAAATACTATCAAAGTGAGATTAAATTAAATACATAAAATATTCAAAACACATCTGCATAGTTAATTGCCGCAGAGAATATATACATCAAGGTATACGAATTATACTTTAACAGTGTCTTTTTTCAACATTAAGAATGCATTTATTTCCTTTATTTATCGTAAGAAAGTTCTATCATTTTATGTACTTTCATAAATGATAATAAGAATGTAACAGTGTATTACACGTTATGTTCTTGAAAATGGTCGGATTTCAGAAACAAAACATTTCTAAAGCCCGAAAAATAACTATTAATATTTGATACACAGAAGATCCTTTTGTTAAGATAATTTTGTAATTCAGAAAAATGTGGCCAAAACTTAAATGCATACTTTGTCATATCACATCCTCAGCTATGATCTCCAGTGAAAGCTTGGAGGAGTTGTTTAATGAACGTGTGTAGAATGTACTTAAATGACCGCCAATTAACAGAAACCGGTTTCACTCAACTTACAGCCGCAATGCAGGAAAAGAGTACACCTGATGATCTACGCAACGAAAAAGAATGCCAATTGGTTCGAGATGCTATGGACTTGAGCTTAAAATGAGCTTTAAAAGAAATGCATCTTAAAATGGAAAGCCTTACTTTCTATAGACCACTAATATTTACTTTTAGTACCAATGTAGATTTATTAACATAATTATATTCTTCAATTGAATGATATTAAGAATTCTTTTCAGATGAATGTAAATTGTCTATAGAAATAAATAAAAATGTAGTTATCAGATGCAATATTTCGTTCGTTCTCTGCTATGACTGCCAAAGAGCGTCCACTGTGGAATTGACGTAATTGTGATAAAGGTAATTGGCATCGTCCATAGATTAATGGTAACACATTTTGCCCATGAGAACGCGAATTTCATAGCTGTCTTAATGTAATATATATTGAGTATTTTTATATTCGTCAGCATACGAAATAGAACAGATAATTTCATCCTTTAAACCCATTTAATTGATTAGATAGGTATACACATAGGCTTGCAGCTGTGGTATTGCATTTACGGCACTCCCAAAGTGTATCTTGTGCGCTCGCACCGTTCTTCTCCCCGGATCCGAGCCGCCCGCTCCGCCGTGGCCGACCGCAACCTCCGCGCCCGCCACCGCGAGGAAACCGGCGAGTTGAGCTCACGGCGCCAAAGCAGCGCGTGAATCACGAGCGCGTCCACAGGCGACCCGCGCCGGAAGGCCGGGCCCCGACCGCCCGCGACTCCGCGGTCGCCGACGCGACACGACGCCACGCCACGCCACGCCACGCGATGCGATGCGGCGCGGCGCGGCGTTCAACTCTCTGCAGCCAGCGCTCGGAATACCCCTGATGTCAGCGCAGGAGGCCAGGGCTTCGACCCGCGACCGCTCCCTCCCCCGACACGTCCCGCCGAGCTTCGCTCCGC